CCCGCCACGTTCCTTACCCACCACTCGAATACTACGAATCACTACCAAAATGTCTGGTAAAAATTGCTAATTTCATGCTCTAACTTCCATCGAGTATTCACTCACTCTCACTAGCGCAGAGGAGTTAAAACAATTTCATGACTTTCTGGTATACGTAGAATGAAACTACAATTCCCTTCACGATTACAGATTGTGGGTGTTCCGCCAGTGGTTGACAACATATAATTTTGAGATGAAGTAATGGAGGTGCTAATAAATATCAAAACAGGACTACAATACAGTATGATCCCTCGTTTCTCGATAACCGAGTTGGTCATGGCCACTCTCGATGCGAATCGGCTTGCAGGTTATCGAAAAGTCGTTCACAAAGAAATCAAAAGAAAAATGCAATACAAAGGTCTAGAAATGATCGCTAAAAACAATCGTTTGTTCAGAATTGTATGAAAATCATCCATCGGCAATTCTGTTGTTTTCCATTCATGTACCCTCAAATTATGACCAACTTGTGTCACTTGATATTTAANGAAGGGACAAACACCTAATATCAATCTATATCATAAAATCAGTATTTGCGAACTTGGCAGTGAAAAAGAAATACTTCTCAATGGCATGGAAGCGATCCTGGAATTCACAACCTACAACCGAGTTGGTCATGGCCACTCTCGATGCGAATCGGCTTACAGGTTATCGAAAAGTCGTTCACAAAGAAATCACAAGAAAAATGCAATACAAAGGTCTAAAAATGATCGCTAAAAACAATCGTTTGTTTAGAATTGTATGAAAATCAACCATCGACAATTCTGTTGTTTTCCATTCATGTACCCTCAAATTATGACCAACTTGTGTCACTTGATATTTAACTGGGCCTTACCGTATGAGTTTGTGGATAACATATACATAGTATATACATGTAATCCTGTCTCTGTTCACGTTGAAAATTGGTACGTTCCGGGGTTCGAGTGAAAGTGTGCCGTCACGTGATAGTACATGTGCAAAGCACAACAGGTGATAAAGGTTATGGTGTGACCAAATTGCATAATAATTAGATGCAGAATTATTACCTTTAAATTTTATTTTCCTCGCGAGTCGAGACCAAGCAATATTCAGTCAGACTGTACGAAAAGGTATATTTCTTCTCTAATTTGCTAAAAAGTCCTCTCTCGCAACTCCTGTCAGATAAAAAATGTATATTAATTTAACATGATGAATGAGCTATGCAGGGATCGATGTATTATATTGTTGTTTACTTTGATCCATGAACCACTATAAAAGATTCACTACAAAACATGTAGTAATTTGTAATATTACATTGTTAAAATGTCTTTCAAAAACCCTTTTTGCCGATTAAAATATCACAATTTTGTTCATTTTACTGATAATTTTGAGTGAATTTTTACGTCACCATCAAAAAAACGTTTTTTAAAATTTAAATGGAAACAACTTGGCCATCCTGTTTAAATGAAGATGACTACTTTGGTTAAATATAGCACTTTACCGGCTGTCATGTATATGCATGCAAAATATCAACTCGGCGCGATAAGCGAAATTAGCTTACATAATAAATGGTTATTTCAAGCGATGACCACCCCCAGTAACAGGTTTCGAACTTGCTGTGCTGTTTTCCTGTTTACGACTGAGTACATTCTGAGTAAATGTACGTGAGTAGCATCAAAGCGTGATACGAGGAAGTCTTAATTAAACGGTGTTGATTCCATTGACAGTCGGTTCTTCAGCCTTGAGCACTTGACACAAAGAATGAATTGTCTTCAAACGCGTCGTACAACGATGATATTCAATCAGATTCAATACAAGTTCATTATCGTGATCCCCTGGCTAAATATTTGTATTTCAGCAAGTCCATCCCAAGCGGTAAAGTTGGCGCTATATTACGAGATCTCACGAAGAAATCACAACACTTTTATATCACTTACCGTCGATTAAAGGTTGCTTTAATTTCGCTAAACGCGATCTTGGCTCTTCTTGAAGAGACTGTGAGATTTTTAGTTACGTTCTCTTCTCACAGACAGACCGAGGATAAAGAAGAAAGACTTTTCTACTCTCAGCTCTTCCGGACCAGCTAGGGAAAAGTCCCATTCATCCTACGAATTAGCGTCTTTACGAAGGGGAATCCCCGGCGCACTTTCGAAGTCTAAAACTCATTACGCCAGAAAAGAAAATTCAGGCCATTCTAGGGGATTCAATGATAACGAAATAGCTTTTTGATCAAGAAAGAGTGGCTTTAAAAGTCTATTTACTCTATATCTATTTTACAACTTCTATTATTCAACAAAATGTTGTCCTCAAGGATTTAAACAGGAAAAGTGCTTTGTGAAGCGCTTTCATTCGTACGCAGCAAACTAATATGATTATGTCTTGCGGTTTGTTTGGAAGGTGCTGTGTTGCGGAATACGCTTTTAACGCATTGTCCGTTTGGAAGCAAATTGAGTCTATATAAGGGGCAAATTATTATTATTATTATTTTTTAATTTCAATGCGCCAGGCTGGTTTCATGCAAGGAGAATCAAGAGAAAATATATTCTGTTAACTCCTCTGAATGTTATGATACTTTCCAACGCAAGGGGATTCCCCTACTACGCAGTTTCGAATCGTCGATCATCAACAATTAAATTTCAACATCGTATTCTAATAAAATTTATCACAGTTGTTCAAAACAGGCGTTTTGATCGAATAGAGTGATTTTAAAGTCGTATTTCATTCTGTTTTTATTTTTTAATTGTGCGATTTTGACCAAAGGTTCTCGGCTCGATATGAAAACCGAAAGGTGCTTTGATAAGCACTTGTCGAATTCTGCAAATTCGATTTGGTTGACTTCCTGCCAAATGTCAGCTTGTGATTAGCATGTGATTAGCATGTGCGTGCTTCTTAGTCAAAACAACTACTGTAGGGAAAAACCCCTGAAAGGTGCTTTGGTAAGCACTTGTCGAATTTGGTTAACCTCATGGCAAATGTCAACAGGTAATTAGCCCAGATCTGCTTCTTAGACAAAACAACTTCAGAAGGGAAAAAACCCTTTCGTGTTTTGTTTACCGTCCACGACAATACAATATTGGGTGTACTGACATTACAAACGTCACTTCGTCAGCACTCTTGTTGCGGAGGAAAGGACAAGATCGGAGAGTTGCAAATGAATCTATAATCCTGCGAACGGAAGACTAAAAGTGAGCAATGCGTCCTGGTAAGTTAATCACATATCAAATTAAAATTAGTTTCATAGTCCGCACGCTTACTTGCAAAAATACATGTGCATGCATAAATTAAGTCAAATTTAGGAAAAAGTGAGTAGGATGTATACCGTCCAAAAGTTATAACCCCTTACAGTTTTAGAGCACTCCGTCTCACCCCACCCCCCTCCCCACTTTTTTTCTCTTAAGTAATTAATTCACGCGCGCGGTGCATCTACCTCTTCAACTGCAAACTTCTCCTTTTTCCCCTTTCTCTATACCTTTCTTGATCCTTTTTTTGTTTAATTTTTCTCATTTCTGTCTAGTTTTAGTCTAAGGCATGAAAAATTCTCCCAAAAAGATAGATTAACCAACTATTTTCCCGAAATAATTGATAACTTTTTGCCAGTGTTTTGGCGGTACATTGTGGACTTGATTATGCAGTGCATTATGGAAATGAAATATCATCTAGAGGTAAAAGGTTTACTAATTATAACAAAGTCACTTCTTCCAAACTGAGCTTCGATAACATCTCATTACTATTGGACTACCGTAAACTTCCGAAAGTAACGACCCTCGTTACCTTCGTTTTCAGCAGCCTTTTGGCATTTTTCAATTTTGATTTTAATTTTAATTTTACCGTGTTTGAACAAAGATTATGTATGCATGTATATATCGTTACTTTCGAGGGGTCGTCACTTTCGGGAAGTGGCAAAAAATGTTTTATGAAGTTGGTACGACTGAGCTCTTTTCTACTGTTTTTTACGAAATAAAAAAAGGAAATTCGTAAAAACAGTTCTTTGAACATCAAATCAAATTCTTCGTTCCAGTTTAAAGCTATGTTGCTGCCATGGCTCTTGATCCCTAGACCTTGTTGTCAGTGGTCGGCATGCAGGAAAGCTAGTCAGATATCGTAAACTGTCTCTACTTCATGACGCAATGCTATGTTAGTCTGCGCTAACAATTTCTCAGTGCGCTGATCGAGTTTTCAATTTTAAAAGTTTGAAGCAACGTTCCTTTTTAACCGCGCGGCCATGGGCCGAGCGCGGTTTTAGGTTTACCCGTGGTTTATTATTTTTTTTTTATATTTTTTTTGTCGGTGGCCAGACGCAGACCTCCGCTCTGCCAAACTTTGAGTCACGCAACGTGTGATGTTTTTCCGCCAGAAGCTGTTAAAACATAAACACACGAACANTCCCAAAAAGATAGATTAACCAACTATTTTCCCGAAATAATTGATAACTTTTTGCCAGTGTTTTGGCGGTGCATTGTGGACTTGATTATGCAGTGCATTACGGAAATGAACTATCATCTAGGGGTAAAAGGTTTACTAATTATAACAAAGTCACTTCTTCCAAACCGAGCTTCGATAACATCTCATTACTATTGGACTACCGTAAACTTCCGAAAGTAACGACCCTCGTTACTTTCGTTTTTAGCAGCCTTTTGGCCTTTTTTAATTTTGATTTTAATTTTAATTTTACCGTGTTTGAACAAAGATTGTGTATGCATGTATGCATCGTTACTTTCGAGAGGTCGTCACTTTCGGGAAGTGGCAAAAAATGTTTTCTGAAGTAGGTACGACTGAGCTCTTTTTTACTGTTTTTTATGAAATTAAAAAAGGAAATTCGTAAAAACAGTTCTTTAAACATCAAATCAAATTCTTCGTTCTAGTTTAAAGCTATGTTACTGCCATGGTTCTTCATGCCTAGACTGTTTCTACTTCATGACGTAATGCTATGTTAGTCTGCTCTAACAATATCTTAGTGCGCTGGTCGAGTTTTCACTTTTAAAACTTTGAAGAAACGTTCCTTTCTTGAAATACGCATCCGTTGAAATAATACAGAGTTATCAATTTTAGTTTAAAGAAAATTTCCCGTTAAGTTACTGAGTACGTTCCTGTTACTTGATGAAAATCTTACGGTTTTTCTTTGAACACGACGCAACATAAACCGAAGAAAGATGAATTGACATTGCACAACGCTTCGTGGCATGAGCGATACTTTCCCTTGTTGTACAGAAGAAATAATACTACTGAACCTTGGTGTCATTATTTTCGGTGGGGGGAGAGGGTTGGGGTTGGGCCAGCTACTTTCCGGGGGGGAGATCGTTACTTTCGGAAGTTAATCGTATGATAACATGGTAATTTGACAATGAATCAATCGACGTCCCTGGAAACTGGTTTTACTGATTTTTAGTTGAGTTCTTCTCCAACATTACAAGATCAACCTATACAGGAATATGCCTGAAAACCCATGGGGATCCTAGGGCATGCATTTAGTTTGGTTGTTCTTTTTTTAATCCCTAGCAGCTAAAGTTGAAGATCGTAGATCTCGTTCAGTTCTGGTCAGCAGCTATTATAAACTCTCTCGGAATGGAACTGCCTCTCCGTCAACAATCCTGATCGAGCATTGCTGCTTGATGACGAAGGGTAACAGATGGGAGATTGCTGTCAAATACCGGCCACTTCTAAGTCACTGTGATGACTTGCAAAACACCTGGAGAAACGTTACAGAAGTTTACCCCGATGCCAAAGTTGAAGAAAAACATAACGACATCGAAGTAACGCTTCCTTCACTAAGAGAAGATGTTGAAGTTGCGGCTTTTGGAACTCCAGGAAAAGATGATCAGATAAGAATGCAAATGGCGGTCTTTGGGAGAAGGCCACCACATGGAAGTGAATGGAGGATTCGAATTTATCTTTTACATGATACAGTAACAGCATTCAAGGTAATACACTGTACGATATGCTAAGGTTCCTGATTCTTATGAAAAGATTTCACAATTGTTGCCAAAAAGTTTTGAGCAAAACACCGCTGGCTGAATGAAAACTTTCACCGGCAAAATCTCGATTTATCCACCATTAAAATCCAAGGTACGTATGTATATTTATGCAGCGATGTAGCTCAATTCGATAAAACCTATTTACGTTTGTTTGTTTGTTTTTGTTTTGTTTGTTTTGTTTTGTTTTATTTTGTTTTGTTTTGTTTTGTTTTTTTTTCGCTTTTTTTTTCTTTGAGTTCTTTAACTTCTTTACTACTGATTCACATATTTATGCTTAGTTAATTGCAAACTCATGCTACATTTTTGGACTTTATCATTCCATTTTGTTTTATCTTTGTATAATTTCTTTAGATTTGTGGCTACCTTTGTGGCTGTTATTGTTGTTGTTGTTGTGGTGGTGGTGGTGGTGGTGGTGGTGGTAGTGTTGGTGATGGTGATGGTGGTTATAGTTGTTTTGAGTTGTTGGTAATATTGTGGTAGCAATTGTTGTGATACTCAATCAGGTTGTTGTTGCTCTCAACGTCCTTATCCGTATTACAAAAACCTCGCAGACTTGGAACTGTTTTTGCATCGATGATTTCCTCCTGATAAACAGAACGTTTGTAAGAAAGAAGAAGAAATGGGAAACAGACTATTGACAGCTCTCGCTGGACTGTTTGTGTCCAACACTAATGAAGATATCAGAATTGAATTCACCACTCTTGAGTCTGGTTGGAAGATCAAAGAGGGAAAAGTGAAGGTATGACAGTTCTAACTTCTCTTTTGACGAGAACATGTTCTATAGAAATCATTCCACTGAGGTAGAAACCAGAAAACACCTAACTGTCCAGGTTATTGCAAGTATCTGTTGACCAACTAATTCGCTAGTACCTGGCGTGCGGGTGCAATGTGGGAGTAAGGTGTCTTGGCCCAGATCGCAACTGAATATGGACACAAGACTGGCTACTGAGCACCGACACCCGTCGATCGATTCAATACTGGACTGCATTAACAATTAGACAAGAACTTCTCCCACATTCTGCCACATTAAGTACTATTGTCTCTTTTCAGTTTTNTTTTTTTTTGTCCAATTATTACACATATAGGCAAGTTATGCAGCAACTTAAGAAGCTACAAAGGAATCCTCCGCAATTCCTGTTGCGAACGTTAAAATGTTACATCATGTACTCACAGATATGTGAGGCTCTGCCTCGTAAACCAGTCAGTTGCTGCTTTGGAAAGGGTAATATACAATCTCGAAGGTCAGCTGAAAAGTGCACTTTTATCTATGAATACTACAGATCTGATAAGATAATGAACATTGATTCAGGTTATCCCTTCTTGCTTCCAGACGATGAATTCAAAAGATGTATGGAACTCGCCTGGAAACTCCAATTTTCCTCGTCGTGATTTCGTAATAAGTCACGTTGACAAAACGAAGCAGCAGTTCTTCTGCGGAATAACAGTATCACACGGTAATGACAGTGCCAGCACGGAAGTCGTGGCTCTGTTTGAGCAGGTGAAGATTAAAAGACTTGCTTATTAAATATCAATATCAAAACTGATTAAAGGTTGAAAAAAATATATATTTAGTACGTTAAAAATTTTGTCCAAGTAGTTCATTAGCAAACTAAATTAACCAACCAACGATGATATTTTATTTATTTTATCTTAAAGGCAAGACGCAAGATTGCCGACCGACCGTCGAAGTTTTTTCAGAAACCAAAGAGCGCTTGGATGGACCTCTCACTCGGTAAGAAGCGCAAATGAATTTCTTGTTAAGTCATCTTGATCACACAATAATCATGAAGGCTTGTGTTTCGTTATGATATATTTAAAACAATAGACAATTACCAATATATTGTAGCAGAAGCAATTACATGTATATTGAGGACAAGATGGACGTATTGAAGTCATTCAAACTGTTTCAATTGAAAGTTGTGAAAGTAATAAACGCTGCATGCATTTCCACCCAAAAGGTCCTCTTGTTGGAGACAAGAGCGTTCAGACGTTGACGATTTTTGATTTGCTAGGGTTACTTACTGGTTCAGGGCTGAAAAGGCAAATGTTAAAAGGTAAGACTGCGCTATATAGTTTGCTTTTTTTATAATTAATATATAGTCTCCCAGCCAGTTAGACAAGATGGTGAAGTTTTGTGCTGACTGTTTTGTTTTGCTTTTCTTTTTTTTTCTGCTGTAATGAACCTACAGGACAGTAAAATGCTACTGGTGGTTGGACAACTTTCCACAAGAAACCTAGCCTGCTGAGAAAAAGGATTGCCCTTAAAAAGCGATATCCATATAGCGTGTAGCATGACTTATATCAGACAGACTTATAGCCCTAACTACCTTAGTTCGAGGTCCGTACATACATTTGGGAAGCTTACGGAACGACGACGGCGGCGCCGAGGTCGACGCCTAGTCAAAAATGAATTTATATTTTACCAGCAAAATTCCCCATTATCTAGATCCGTTCAGTATGCCAAGGGCTCTAAAAACGTGCTCGGGCAAAATATGTAATGGCAGCGTTCAATTCCAAAGGGAAAGACGAAAAATTAGCCATCGTCGTTTGCGTTCTTCGGGCTACGCAGAACTTGGTTATTTAGCAACGCCATCGTCTTGCTGCACGTGGTTCCACTGATTTCGCTTATGAAAGATCAGGCCTCGAACCTAAATTCCCGTGGCACTTCAGCATTGTACGTCATCAGAACCACAGTTGCAGGATATTTTAGTTCAAAAAGGTATCGATACGACCTCTGGCGACTTCGTAGCTCGCTCGGCCGCTTCGCGACCTTCACAACGCCGCTTTGCGACCTAAAACTTCGCAGCACGCTTCGCTCGCTTAGCTTTTCTACCCTGAAACTCATGAGGTTGACTGGTGGCAAGTCTACGCGTGTAGTGATTGAGAGACTCAGTTGTCGCAAAATATCGTGATTTGTCAGTGTCTTACAGATCAATTATCTGCCGAAGCCGAGGCCGAAGCCTGAGGCGAATAACTGATCTGCGAGACACTGACAAATCAGGATATTTTTTCGATAATTACCGACTTTGATATTCGCTTTAATAAAGCATTTTAATAAAGCATTTAAAACATTGGGTAAGTTTCTGCAGTTACCATATGCTAATGAGGCAAAATTTGGACTCAATATGCATGGTCTAAGCTCTCGTAAGCGACATCCTCTCGTAAGCGACCACATAGGCTTGGCATTTTGGGTGGTCGACTACGGGAGGTTAGACTGTTATATTAGGGGCCTTAAGAAACGACGATGGCAACGCCGAGGACGACATCTAGTCAAAAGTGAATTGTGTTTTACCAGAGAAATTCGCGATTGTCTAGATCAGTTCATTGCGCCAAGGGCTCTAAAAACGTGCTCGGGCAAAATATGCAATGGCAGCGTTCAATTCCAAAGGGAAATACGAAAAATTAGCCATCGTCGTTTGCGTTCTTCGGGCTACGTAGGACTTGGTCGTTTGGCAACGCCGTCGTCTTGCTGCATGTGGTTCCACTGATTTCGATTGTGAAAGATCAGGTCTTGAACTTTAATTCCCGTGACATTTCAGCATCGTACGTCATCAGAACAACAGTTACAGGACATATTAGTCAAAAAAGGTATCGATACGACCTCTGGCGACTTTGTCGCTCGCTCAATCGCTTCGCGACCTTCACAACGCCGCTTTGCGACCTAAAACTTCGCAGCACGCTTTGCTCGCTTAGCTTTTGCACAATGAAATTCATGAGATTGACTGGTGGCAAGTCTACTCATGTAGTGATTGAGAGATATTTAACAATTATTGGACTGGGTTGTCGCAAAATATCGTGATTTGTCAGTGTCTTACAGATCAATTATTTGCCGAGGCTGAGGCCGAAGCCTGAGGCGAATAACTGATCTGCGAGACATTGACAAATCAGGATATTTTGCGATAACCACCGACTTTGATATTCCTTTTATCATTCGATCACCAAGTTTGTGTCCATTGGTAAATCACTATCTGACAGCTCAGGCAAGCGATCTGCCATTTTTCACACAAGAGCGTGGTTACAATTACGCATGAGCAGAATATTACCCGCAGCAAAACACATTTAGACAGTACTACGCATGAGCAGGCAGTTATTTGTAGGGCACGTGGTTGGCTCTCGGCCGATGAAAAGGTCAAATGATATAATAATCATTTTTTACTGATGTAATTGAGACTATAGAAAAAAGGAGTTCACAAGCATCTATGTGTTCCATTATCGTGTATTGTTATACGAAAAATAAAAGGCAACACAATGCTAAAAAATGAGTCCCAAGCAGCAGAATTTACAACTGTTAATTCTGGACAAAAAATGGGCCTAGCAAGGTAGCAGGTGATGGAATTTTCAGGCTTAAGCATGACGCGGCTAAAGGTTTATATGTAAGTGTGATGTTCCGCTGAAATAACGGGGAAAATTTGACACAAGGGTCGTCTCAGTACTCGACATATGTGAGATAAACGCGGTTGTAGGGTGAAGCTGGGAAATATCTCTGTGTATGTTTGCATGGAAGTTTTGTGCCGTTTAATTCAAATTAAAAGAGACAAAATACATATACCTGAGCTTTGCTTTAGATCCTGTCTAGTCACGCCCACAGACATATTACTCCTCC